TCAACTCCAACACCTTCTCCTTTGCAAATGTGTCAACACCACATGTGTCCACCATCTTGTGCACATGTGTTAGCTTTTCACAAACATTTTTCCAAAGGATTAGTCACTCAATTCACCACGCCACTCGATCCTAGCAATGATTCAAAGTTAGATCACTCGAGTGGCACTAGATGATCGATATACAAACAAGTTTGCCCCTCTTGATAGTACGGCCATCTATCCTAAACCCGGTCATAAACTTCTCTACTCACCTATGACCGATGAAATGAAATACTCTATAGGTTATACCTTTGCCTTGTGCATTCCATTCCATCTCCTCCAATGTTGATGCAACACATACACCAACCATATCACAAATGATATGATCAACTTCATATCATCACGTGACCTTATTGGTTCATCAATCTTGACCTCACTTGCTTTTTATCGTTTTCTTCGTCAATCGGCGCCATGTCTTGCTTAAGCTTCACCGCCATGCGGTCCATTGCTTTAAAGCCTCCAACTTACCCTTCACTCTTGCAACCGGTCCATCAAGCCAAGTCTTGTCTTGATCTTCTCCACCTTAGTCACATGACTCCATGTTATGTCTCATATGCAATGAGCTCCTTCATCATATGTGTGAGCTTTGCAACGTATCCAAGAAATTTCACCGTCATGGCATAGGTTGCTCACACATGGTGTGCCTATGGACTAATCACATGTGTATCTCACATTAAACACAATTAGTCCACCTAGATTGTCACTCAATTACCAAAATCAAACCAGGACCTTTCATAGGGTCTGATCTGCCGGCTTTGGCTCCGGCACTGGTGGTTCCATGTGGTGCCGCTGTCTACGCGTCGTTCCGCGAGAGGCGAAGTGCTGCTGAAGTGGGGCGGTCGCGCTGCTAGCGTGGCCTCCGCTGCGCTGTCCGTGCAGCGCTAGCTAGCTAGCGTTGGTGGCGGGTTCCTGCAGTGCTCGTCGGTGCCCGCGGTGAAGCTCAGGTTATCGTCGGTTCCTGCACGTGCGGGTCTTACCTACAGTCGGCATCCACCCTCCTGCCCAGCGTAGTCTCATGCAGCGGGGGTGGCTAACCCCTGACCTCGCCCCGACCTCGGCCTGGCTAGATCCTCATGGGGCCGCGTCTGTGCCATGGGGGCACTAGCTACAGGGCCGATGACTGCCGACATGCTTCCTCCGCCCCTCAGCTCGTCCCCCCCACCGTGGCCTCTGCTCTCTCTAGCCGTCGTGTGCCACAGCCTGTTGGTCGCCGGTGGATCTGGTGGAAAGGCCGCCGACGTGGTTGATCCGGTCGGCTGTGGCGTGTTGGTGCCGGATCTGCTTGGGTCTGCTCTGGATCCAGTGGATCCACGACAAGCCGGTGTCTGGACCATGGTGTCCGCGCCGGCGCCCTTTATTTGTATGCACGACGACCGTCTTTGGCATGTAGCATGTCTGCACTGCGCCTACGATGATTTCTGCCTCATCATGGGTGTGATACCATTGGACGCGTGGAGTTATGGGCGAAAAGCTCAGTTCGGTTTTGGCCGGGCAGATGACGGTGACGCCTCTGGCACCACATACCTTCTTGGAGGCATCGTTGTTGAACTCCATGCTTCCCGACAATGGTGCCAGATTCTGGGCGTAAGCACCGCCTTACAAGCTGTAAGGCCAGCGGCGATGGCGTCCATGGTGTTACCCTTGGGCGTCATGTCCTTCCTGAAGGCATCGTTGAAGAATCTCTTTGCCTCCTTTCGTGTCGTCGGCTCGTGGTGGAGTTCCTCGTTGTGCCTGTATGCTCCTATGTTCTACTCGCAATGGTTTCTTTTGCAACAATTGACCTTGCCGTTGTTGTCTAGCTCTCATAGCAGATGCTTTGCCGCTATCGTTCTTCTAGCGGATGCTTTGCCGCCGTTGTCGTTGGCCTCCACTCTGGCAGATGCTTTGCTGTCGAGTGTGTCATGGTCATTCCCTCTGCGGATGCTTTGCTGCAGTGGATGTTTTGGCGGATATTTGGCCGCCGTGGTCTTCGTTGGCGGATGCTTTGCCGCCATTGCTGCTTTGGGTGGATAGGTTGCCACCGTGGCATTGTCTTGTTCATAGGCAACCATTGCTCTGTTGTATCTTTTTTTACAGGCCCAGTTTGTAGGTTCTGGGTTTTGAGGACAGTCGCTTCTTCTTTTCTCCTTTTTTCATGCTCTTATAAGTTGTATCCCAGGTCACTCACCACTACCTTCGTGGTTTATAATCTGTGCTACGAGAGTTCTCTCGTAGCTGTGTCGTATAATTCTCTTCTTCTTAATGATAAACAGGCCATATTCCCCGATCGCGAAAAAAGACTAGGCCCATGTCCTTCGGTTAAGTGCCAATGAGTACTACTCCTGTGTCGTTTGGATCCAACGTGGGCTATTCTACCTTCGGGATTAATTCTAATTCAAATATAAAAAAACGGATTTACATACGGATTTCAGCAGTTTCAACCTATAATATCACTGACCTAGCTCTTTTCATAAGCTTTTAGAAGATTCTAGGTTAACAAAGGCCGATTTTGCGCATGTCCAAACCTTTTTCACGCAACAAACCCAAGGGCATTCCCGACAATATGCTTGCACGACTAACCCACTATTCATATTATTATTCGAAGATCCAAACAAGTTAGACTTTTACTAAGATTCGTTTTGTTTGGATCCGTGTGTGACGACTTATAGATGGGATCCTTAGGCCAATCTTAATGGCAATTTTACAGGAGTTTCATTACATTAAATAAGGTGCCATCTCAGCAAATGTGATAACATGACATTATTTTAATGGAAAAGAGACTATTTGAGTTTTCCCAGGATAAAACTAGTTAACACCGTTTTCGAACGTCTCGGAACACATGGGTGAAACCCGCATTGAGGTTGTTTAGTTTCATCCTTGTCTGTTCCTTCGATCCAGTGCGTCTTGTGGATATGTGCTTCCCCAACTCCTCCCATCGCAATAACAGTGGTTGTGGCTGTGCCGGCAACAGCGACCACATAGGCGCCAAAGGGATCGGCCGCGGAGATCGAGCCCGTTGTGGCCAGTCTTAATATGTGGAATGGTAGGGACGTGGAGCTAGCTAATAACACCATAGCCGTGGTCGTGCCAAAGTCGTTGCCTATAGGTGCCGTCATCCATCTTCTTGTGAAGTTACGGTGGAAATTATAGTAAACTTGAGCTACAGGCCCGTACTTCTATTTATGTTTAGGCTTCAGTTCAATTTCAATCTAATCATGTTTTAGTTCAGCTAACCATGATTGTTATCAAACAGTGAAGGTTATAAGTTACCACTCAGGAATGAGCAAGATTTATCAGATTTAAATTACACGTGGCTACATAATTCATATAGCACGGTTGATCATAACACATTAAACAATTCAATGCTATGGATTAGCCTATGAAACGGTGGCATGCATTAAGATACGATGTTTCATCCATCAGCATAAACCATTATGGAGTACAAGTGATGTGGTATTTTTCGAAAACAACATAATAAAACTCACCATTATGACTGGCCTTGTGAGTGTCTAGAATCTAGATTTTCAAAATCAAGGCCACTATCTGAATTCTCATATATACAGTACTCCTTATATCAAGTAATTCAACGACCCATTGAGTAGTTTGAGTTACAGCTCGCACGAGGAGGGCCGTGCGACGAGTTGGATACTTGGATGCCTGTGGCTGATCCGCTGATCACTCAAGATGCTAGCTCAGCTATATCGACTGCAAGCGTCGATGGTAGGAGTCGTCGGCAGTTCAATTCGATCCTGCCGTATTTTCAGCTTGTTTTTTAGTTGAAACAGTGTTTTTCTCTCACAATAAATCAGTTAGAATAATATTTCGGTTTATTTTTTCAGCGAAGCGAATGATGCCTGTAGACTGTGGGGCTCAACAGAGACAACAGTCGTCGATGAACGTTGCACACGTACGGCCGGTTTCCTTGGCTGGACCATGGGGTCAAGTGACGTGCTTCACAGCAGCTGCAGCGGGGATACTCCCAGTCTCCCAAGTCCCACCCACTAGGCCACTACACAGGTGACAAGTTCAAGCGAGTTCCGTAACGCAGCTAGGAGTCTAGGACCTAGGGGCTACTCCTTCTAGCGACCACACAGTACAAATGTACTCTACAATATACTGCAGACAGTAGTACTACTCTACTATACGGAGTACACAGCTGGTAGGGTGGGTTTTATACAGCACTACTGTAAGGTTCTGTCCCGGTGGAACACGCGCAGTATATGAACTGAACCCCGTAAGAAATTTGAAAAACCGAGATGTATCCGAAACACCCATCTCTATCCGTATTATTGACTGATTTATTGTGAGAAAAAAATAATATTTGTTGACTGAAAAAATATGACTTATAAGGTAGGGTAAACGAACAGAGCGCGCGTCGATGCCCGACTGCCTGTACGCCAGCGCGCAGCGGTGGTGGCGGCTCGGCGCGCCCTGCTGCGGTTTCTGATGCCCGACGATGACACAACTGAGCACACTGAAGGACGTTTAAGGTGTATACTCCCTCCGTCCCATTGAGTTTGTCGCTCGGGAAGCGGGATTGTGAGGGGGGCACGGTTTTCAAACGACAAACTCAATGGGACGGAGGGAGTAGATGATAGCTTCTAGGAGTCCACGCTAAAAAAAAAAAATGTCCCGTACGCACTGCATGGTTTGCTTCCGGGGCAGGGCTGCTGCGGCTCGCGCAGACGCTCCCTCGTCGCCCCCACCTGCCCCCTCGCGCCCCGGCTAGCGCGCTCGCCCCGACGGCCCGACGCGAGCCGGTTTATAAACAGCCGTCGGCCTTCCCATTTCCCAGGCTCAGGCTGTCTCTCTCTCTCTCGCACAGGCACATTCCCCTGGCCGGACCCGCGCTAGCTAGCTCGCGGCCGCAGCAGCTAGGAGTAGATAGCTCTCCAGCCCATAGCTTAGCTTAGGTCGCCTCGTTTCGTAGGGTCTGTCTGGTTCGGCCGTTGGTCGATAAGTTGGCGGGCGCGCGACCCGCCATGGGGGAAGCGCCGCAGCCCAAGTCGCCGCCGAGGTACCCGGACCTGTGCGGCCGGCGCCGCCTGCAGCTCGAGGTGCAGATCCTCAACCGGGAGGTCGGCTTCCTCGAGGTACGCACGCACCAATCGCTTTTCTTTGTTGAGTTCCTTCATTCTTCTTATGGTCGCGTGGGTAGCGCATAGCCGCGTACCCGGACCTGTTAGGCTGGCTGGGTTGGATCGCAGATTTTTTTATCGCTGGCTGATTTAGTGCTGAGAGAAAAATATTATTTCGGCGTATAATCCATGTCGGGGAGTTCGTCGCGAGGCTCGAGGCGACAAAAGCGTTCCTCCCCTGCTCCTCCGACGTGCCGCGCCGTACGGTACCCTCTGGGACTGGGACTTTTGATCACCCATGGGCTGATGGGCATGGTCACCTCACCTGGGTTTTGTCCCAAGATTTTTCTTTCCCCTTTCTCGATGGAAGAAAGTCTAGTTCTCGCCAAGAAAAAGTGCTAAAGTATTAAGAAAAGGGATGCGAGACTATCTAGTTGCTTCTCGCTAGCGCTGTACCTGCAGCCAATCAGATTGCATCTCGCGTAGCGATTTGATCCCTGGGGACGCCCTAAGAAAGCGTTTCAGATCTTTGCTGCTCACATTTGCATCGGCACGGCATGGCAATGAATGGGTGGAGCATAGCATGCCGCCGCTTCCGTTCATGGCAGATGTGGTGTTTTAATACTAATAAAAAAATAAATTATAGTTCGTAAGATGAATTTATTAAATCTAATTAATCTATTATTAGTACACGTGTTACTCTAATATCATATTATCAAATCATAGATTAATTAGGTTTAAAAGATTCGTCTCGTAAATTAGTCGTAAACTATATAATTAATTATTTTATATATATATATTTAATACTCATGTGTCAAATATTAGATCGAACATGGAGTAAAGTTTAGGGGAGGCCTGACTCTCTCGGCCTGCGGCACTGCATGCTTGCCTGCTGCGTCGTGAGGCAGGCCCTGACTGACCGACTGACTGACGGGGACTACTCGCCTTTTGCAGCAAGAGATACAGGGACTCGAGCGGATTCAGCCCGTGTCGCGATGTTGCAAAGAGTATAATCCATCCTCTCTCTCTCCCGCTTTCCGCTTTTTCTCGTCTGGAACGGGAAATCAGCCGACAGGGCTTTCAGCTTATCAGTTACCACTGCATCTTGCTATGATTGTTTGCTTGGCTTCGATGGGCAAATGGCGAGCCTACTCCGTATGCTCCTTCGTGTTCATGCTACTTTCATTCTTAAGTCAAGTCAAGGCTACCTAGTGTTGTTTTCTGTTATTTCATTTTAGAATTTAGAGCTATTGCTCTTGATATTAAGAAATGTGCAGTTTTTACAGTGGTGATGTTCTGGTATTTACTTTATCTGTCACGAGAAGAAAATAGAAAAAAAAGAGGAAAATATCTTCCCATGTGGCTCGATATTCCTTGACCCACACATTCCCTATGTAAAAACAGACTCACATGAACAGCGACAAGTATACTGTGGTTTTCTTGAACGTTTGCTTTGTGTAATAATTATATATTTTGTCCTGGTTGTCTGATACTCCACATTTGGACTGTTGCTCAGATTCCATTTATATTCCTATTTGAGGTTGCAGGATAAATGCTAGTGTATCAAGAAATGAACATATTAGTACTGTAATAATGTAATACAGTAGGTAGGTCCTGTGCCAGTTCACTCTTTTTTTTTAAAAAAAGGGTATTCAACAGTAGTATTATACCTGTGTATCTTTTTTTTGAGGAAATATACCTGTGTATCTTTGATTACCGATGTTTTTTGCTCACCAAGTTGTTATGCTTTCCAATAATTTTTGACAGTGTCAACGAGTTTGTCAGTGCAAAGACCGATCCAATGATACCAGTGTATGAATTCTTAACTTGATTCTCTCATGCCAGCAGAACCATGCGCTGATGCTGCTTATCAGTGTCTTTTTTTTCGCTGACTCTGCTACTTGCAGAAGCAAAAGGAAACATGGATCTTGCAGCCTCTTCCGGTGGATCAGGTACTTCATTTATCCCTAGAAGAATATTTTGAATTCATGGGCAGGCAGGAATATTCAAGTTTTTTAATTGCTTGTTTCAAATTTCGTGACACTGAAAATGACAATGATCTGATGAAGATACGATGAATCACTGAACTAGTAAACAGTCCATCAATTGAAGTAGCACCACAAAACCAATACAATAGGGGTCTAGTAATTTGATGCGCTATGTCCCTGCTCCAACATGTAAATCAACATTACTTTTGAATTCAATAGCATTTATCATGAAAGAAGAGCCCTTTAAAAGGTTCTTGTTTAATCTAGAGCACTGTTTCTGTAGATCTGTTTTTTTCATTGTGCTTAAAAGAACTGAATTTCAATTCTCTAAACCTTTTTTGTTAGAAATTTGATACTAGAGTTTGGTAGCTTTAGAGTAGTAATAGGATTTTGAAGCGTCAAGCACATAGTAGGCGTATACTATAACACTGGCAAAGTGACTCCTCAGATATGTCAAAAAAAGTAAAGCTGTCCGACGTCTGTTCTAGTGGTGGCTCTGAAACATTTTTGCAGCCTTGGCGAAGCCTACGTGGCTATGCTGCCCTATCAGAGTTCGAAATGTACAGATCAGAGTTCGGGCGTGTTCAGTTCCAGGATGTTGAATTTGGGGCTACCGTAGCACGTTCGTTTTTATTTGATAATTAGTGTTTAAATATTGACTAATTAGGCTTAAAACGTTTGTCTCACAATTTCCCACCAAACTGTGCAATTAGTTTTTTTTTCGTCTACATTTAATGCTCCATGCACAGGCCGCAAATATTCGATGTGACAGATACTGTAGCACTTTTTGGAATTTTGGGGTGGAACTGAACACGCGCAAATTCATGAAAACCGAAATCTTGTGCAGATCAAAATTGCGCACATGCTTTTCATGCCTGTGCTGCTTCAGCTGCTCTTGCTGCACCTGCCGCGACACGCAGTGCTTTACTCCGCCGACCTGCAGCTGTCCAAAGACCCCTTCGTGCAGCAGCAGCTGCTGCAGCCTTCCCAGCTGCAGCTGCAAGCCGCCAGGCTGCTGCGGCCATTGCCGACCCCAGTGCAGCAGCAGCTGCTGTCCTAGTGATTGCAGCTGCTCGGACTGCCCGTGTTCCTGCTCCTGCCCCCCGTGCTGCAGCTGCTGCCCCGGCTGCTTCTCCTGCTGTGCGGGGTGCTCGGCCGGCTGCCTCGGCGCCCTCAACCGGTGTTTCGGCTGCCTGTCGTCGTGCTGCAGCGGGATGCGACCTTCCTGCTGCAAGTGCCAGTCGTCGTGCTGCGAGGCAGGGTCATCCTGCCGCGGCACCGGCACGGGAGCGTGCTGCCGCGGTTCGTGCCTCGGTGCCCCGCCGGCGGCACCGTCGTACCCGGAGTGCTCGTGCGGCTGCGTGTGCTCCTGCTCCAGGTGCAGAGGAGGATGCCGCTGCCCTTCCTGTGGTAATAATCCCTGCTGTGCCGGTGGATGCTTATGCTAGATTAGAGTATTACTGGTAGCTAGTGTGGCTGTTACTCTTCATTTCTGTGCTGGATGATTTGGCGTGTGATATGGATGGAACTTCGCAAGCGTATGGTTTTCAGTATTCACTGTCAAGAATTAACTTGGGCGCCAGATGTTGATATAAAATTACAGCAAGAAAAAATACTGCGTGAATGGTTGGCATTGTTAGTACCTTTGGCTGTGTTCGTTTAAGCTTATTAGCCAAAATAAAACATACTGTTTAACCATAAGAATAATATTTTTTTCTTTCAACAAATTAGCCCTACGAATCAGCCTCCCCCATCCCCCACTTGAGGTTACGGCCCAGGAGCGCGCTAGGCCCAGCCGAAGCCCATGCAGAGCAAGCCATCCGAGTCGTTGCTGTTCCTTCTCTTTTCTTTCCGTTCCGTTTCCTAACGTACGTGCGTCGTACGTGGGGAGTGCGGTATGGTAGTTGCCTTTTTTTCTTTTTTATTTTCCTTTTTATTTTTTCTTTTCTCTGTATTGTTTTATTCTTCTTTTTATTTTTTTTTTTTCCTTTATTTCCTTTGTGTGTTTTTTCTATTTTTTTCTTTCCTTCTTTGATTTATTTTTTTCTTTCCTTTAATTCATTTATTTTCCTTTTCTTTTTCCTTTTTCGTGCACTTTTGACATTCTTTTATTTTATTTATTATTTTATTATTTTTATTTCCATTTTATTTTTATTTTTATTTTTTGTTTCCTTCCTTGCTTCTATTAGTTTTTTTATTTTCCTTTCATTTTTGTTTTCTTATCTTATTATTTTTTAACATTTATACATTTTTAATTTTTTTATAGAGTTCATAATTTTGTTCATTTCATTTTCTGTTTTCGTATTTATTATTTATTATTTTCCTTTTCTTTTCTTCTATTTATAATTTTATGTTTCATTTTTTATTTACAGATACATGCGATGTTCATATAGTAAATACGTAATGTTCTATGATATATTTTTTTATGTCCGCGAGCAGAAATGTGATGATCTATGATGTATTTTGTGATGTTCAGTAAGTATACATTGATGTTCTAGATATATTTTATGATGTTCAGTAGCATTTTTCTTCTTTTTATTTGAATTTAATTAATTACTTCACTCATTTTATTATTTTATTTTCATTTAATGATATTTTGTGATGTCCATATAGTATACAGATGATGTTATATGCTATATTTTTGTGATGTTCGTGTATTGTTAATGTGATGTTCTACGATATATTTGTTTTTTTATTTGACTTTAATTAATTACTTCACTAATTTTATTATTTTATTTTCATTTCATGATGTTTGTGATGTCTATGTAGTATACAGATGATGTTCTATGCTATATTTTTGTGATATTCGTGTAGTGTTAATGTGATGTTTTACGATGTATTTGTTATATTCGGTAGTATATATTGATGTGCTTTGATATATTTTGTGATGTTCTATAGCTTTTTCTTCTTTTTATTTGACTCTAATTAATTACTTCACTAATTTTATTATTTTATTTTATATTTCATGCTATATGTGATGTTCACATAGTATACATATGATGTTCTATGCTATAATTTATGATGTTCGTGTAGTGTTAATGTAATGTTTTACGATGTATTTGTGATGTTCGGTAGCATTTTTAATTCTTTTTTTTGCTATAATTAATTACTTCACTAATTTTATTTTTTATTTTTTTATTTTTAACATTTTATGATATATGTGATGTTCACATTCACATAGTATACATACGATGTTTTATGCTATTTTTCGCGATGTTCGTGTAGTGTTAATGTGATATTCAATAATTATCTTTAAATACATGTTTATTATGAGATAAATATTCGTTAAATTTTTTTATTGAAATATATTCATGTGGGATCTTGTTTTGAAGAGTTAAGAACATGATGGTGTAATCAGATTTTAATTAGGATACTTGGTTTATGAGTTATAACTTTTTTTTACTTCAAAAAGTATGGGATATGTGCTGTGTAAGCAATTTTGGATCTATTGCATGGCTGCTGTCTGGTTGGACTGGTTGGTTGCGTGAAACGTGGGTCTGAACGGCAAAACCGGCCCAAATGCAAAAGAAATAGCCCAATTTCGGAAATAGTAATCGTGGGGGTGGGGGTCGACAGGGGGCTAGGCGCCGACCCAGTCGGCATATAGACGCGCCCGTTTATTTGCATGGTCGAACCTAGCCTGGATGGACGAGTAGAGCCTAGGTATTCTTAGATAGGCTAGATGGGTGCAACTCCTTGTTGTTTGGTGAACTTGTATCAGTTGGGCCTGGTCAATACTGACACTGTTTGTTTGCCTGCGCTATGTTGGAGGACTCACATGTCAGCCACACCCACCATCCACCTGCGTCGGCATCGGGGCCCGAGCGAGCCGCGCCCGGGAGACACGAAGTTCACTTTTGTTTCCTACCAGCCTAGGCCAAGGGTGCTTTAGATTATGTGCTGCACAAGCTCCAACAAAGTCCAGGCAAACAAACAAGTGACGTTGTATCTCTAGAGCCTGTCCCTGACTGTTGTCCAGGCAAACAAACACGCCCTAGGATATTCAGCCACCAGCCTATTCGTTTGAGCTTGCTCGACAGCAACTGTTTTAGGTATTTGCTATAGTGATTCGTTGCAGTCGTAGCAGCTATGAGGAAGCCCATCGTAGCAGGGGCGGATCCAACGGTAGGGCGGGGGGGGGGGGCTCAAGCCCCCCTACCCATACCAGAGCAGTGGAACCCCCTGGAGCCCCTATGAATTTTTAGGCAAAGTTCTATAGTATAGGTGGGGCTGAGACTTAAGATCGAGCAACTGTCGGAGGTATGTGTTGTTCAGCCCCCCCTAAAATTTTTCCTGGATCCGCCGCTGCATCGTAGCGAGCATTTTGCAGGAATCTAGCATCCGCATATCCTCTTCATCTCTCAACTTCTAGGATTGCGTTTGATTTAGAGACATGATGGAATGGAATGATACCGTTCTAATTTTCTAGGACGGGACATCACCATCTTCTTGTTTGGTTGAGAGGACGAAGAGGTAGAGAATGAATGACAGTTTGATTTCCGTTAGCAACCATTAGTGTGGGGCCCACATGTTATTTGGCATTTCACCTTATTATCTCCCCAGCCAGACCTCACCCAGCAGCTTGCCATGGATACCTGCTGCCCTGCCAGTCCAAGCCCGGAGCTTGCTTGCCAATTCACTACAGTAGTCGAAGCACGTTCGCCCGCAGTGGAGCTCTCCCTAAGCCGGAGTTCTTCCGTTCGCCCGTGCACAACCTGTTAAAGGGTGTGGCTGCTCCGGTGGCACAACCGCCTAGTAGCACGGTGTCCCCTCCCCGATGGTGCAACTCATCCCCGGGGACCCCTTATCAATAAGGAGCCCTCTGTGATGGTGCCTCCCTCCTGAGCCATCCATCCTTGGTGGCCTCTCCTCAGCGGGAGCCCTCCCGGATGGTGCCTCCCTCCTCAGCGACTCCTCTCCAGCCAGGAGTAGGTGGCCACTCCCAGTGGCCCCTCGTTGTCGATTCCGACATTCGCCCTCGACCCTTGCCACCATTGCTGCCCTTCTCCTGACCCTAGGTCGTGGATATGGAAAGAGGTGGAGAAGAACGGTGCCTTGGAGGGACGAGCGCATCCCTTGGTTTTGGGGGATTAGTGTGTCCTTAAATCTAGGAAAATATTCTCCTTTAGATATGTCCCGTGTCCCCATATCCCGAGACCAAACACCACTCAAAGTGGGATTGTCCCACTCCGTCCCACCCCATTCCTTCAACCAAACGCAACTTAGGATAAAGTTGGGGCTAGGGCTCATTGGAGTCTAGCCTAGAGAAAAATGAGGACGGCGATGTGAATTGATCGAGAGCAAGGTGTCATAGGTTGCGAGAGGTGTCAAAGAATTACCAGTTGAGCTTGTCGAGGTAGTGAGTCAGGTTGCAAGAGTGAAAGCTCTAGTTTGGTTTTGATTAATTGATGAAACCCTAAGTGCTAACCTAGTTTATCAAAGTGATTATGAGATAGGTAGCACTACTCCAAGTGATGAAGCAATGGCGAAGATCATGACGATGGTGATGGCATGGTGATGATAAAATGCTTAAACTTGGAAAAGAAGAAAGAGAAAAACAAAAGGCTCAAGGCAAAGGTAAAAATTGTAGGAGCCATTTGTTTTAGTGATCGAGACACTTAGCGAGTGTGATCATATTTAGGATCGATAGCCGTACTATTAAGAGGGGTGAAACTCGTATTGAAATGCGATTATCAAAGTGCCACTAGATGCTCTAACTCATTGCATATGCATTTAGGATCTAGTGGAGTGCTAACACCCTTTAAAATGTTTGTGAACATAAGCTAACACATGTGCGCAAGGTGATACACTTGGTGGTTAGCATATTTGAGCAAGGGTAGGAAACTTCACCGGCAGAGTGTCCGCCCGTAGAGTGCGGACAGTCTGACGGTGCCACTGGCGCCCTAGACAGAAAAGGCGAAGGTCACTGTAAGTGACCGGACGCTGGTCTCGGTTGGACCGACGCGTCCGGTCAGTGGCAGCAGAGGGCGCGTGTTTCGGTCTTCGACCGGACACTGGAGCTAAAAGTGATCGGACGCTGGCAGGGTGCGTCCGGTCAGTGCTGATGTACGCTGACGTAGGGCACACAAAGGAGACATTGAGTGACCGGACGCTGGGTGAGTCCGGTCGGGCATGACCGGACGCATCCGGTCATAAAAATTAGCGTTTGGAGCCTTACTGGAAACGACCGGACGCTGAGGTCCAGCGTCCGGTCACTTCCTAACTGACGCGTCCAGTCATCACTTGACCGTTGAAATCAGGTGATCGGCGTTTGAAGGCGATGACACGTGGTGCACATCGCACGACCGGACGCTGAGGTCCAGCGTTCGGTCAATATGACCGGAGCGTCCGGTCGGCCCGTGTTCAGTGCAGTGAGGAGCCCAACAGCTCTATTTCGTGGGGGCTTCTATTTAAACCCCATGGCCAGCTCAAGCTCACTCTCTTGGCCTTTTGCATTGACATATCACTCTTGTGAGGTTAGCCAAAGTCCTTCCACTCATCTACATCATTGATTCATCATCTTTGTGAGATTGGAAGAGAATCCAAGTGCATTGCTTGAGTGATTGCATCTAGAGGCACTTGGTAATCGTGTTTCGCTGCGGGATTTGCTTGTTGCTCTTGGTGGTTGCCACCACCTAGACGGCTTGGTGCAGCGGTGGAGGATTGGCACGAGTTGGTGATTGTTCGTGGCCATCTCCGGTGATTATGAGGGGATTTGTACCTTCCCCGGCGGAGCGCCGAAAGGTAACTCTAGTGGATTGCCCGTGTCATTGAGTTACCTCACTTGCGGGTAGGTTCTTGCGGTGTCCAATCATGTGGACGAGGTTTGTGCAACACCTCTTAGCCGCCGAACCACCAAGTGTTGGTCGACACAACGGGGACGTAGCGTGTTGGCAAACACGTGAACCTCGGGAGAAAATCGGTTGTCTCTTACCATTTAGTATTCTCCCGGTGATTGGTTTAATATTCATCTTGTGATTGGTTCACTTCTCTACACGGCGGTATAATCATCCTACTCACTCATTTATATTCTTGCAAACTAGTTGTGGCAAGCTCTTTAGTGTAATTCGAATTGAGAGCTTATTTTGTTATTTAAGTTCATCTAGTGGAGCTCTTTAGTGTAGCAATTTTGAGAGCTCTTAGTGAGTAGTATCATAGTAAGTTGTGTGTCTAGTAATTATTGTAACTAGAATTGTTGGATAGGTGGCTTGCAACCCTCGTAGAGCTAGAGTAAGTTTGCATTTCGCTATTTGTCTTACTAATCAAATTGCTCTAGTTGATTTGTAGATTTTTAAATAGACTATTCACCCCCCCTCTAGCTATATTAGGACCTTTCAAAGAGGCAAAGAGCCACCAAGGCTCGTTTGCCGAGGTTTCTAGAGCTGCTTAAGTTCTGGCTTTGGCCGAAACCTTACCAAATGACTTTTTAAGAAACGGCTCCGACGAAGAAACCTAGAGAAGGTGGTGTCATTTTTGTACTGGGCAAATAGAGCCAAAAAAGCATGGCTTCTCATGAATTGGCACAAATTATAACAAAACTAACACTGGAGTTGTTTTTGCCAGACATTTTTCAAAATAGTTTCAGCTCCACCAGAGAAGCAAATACTTCATAAGAGAAGCCGATGCTGGAGCATTTTTAGGAGAAACTAGAGACCTGCCAAATTTGGGTTGAGTTGATGTGCGGCGTCACAAGATGGATCTATCAATTTTCATTGTTGAAGACCTAGAAATAAAGGAGAGTAGGCTGAAAAACGTGACTGACGTTCAAAATGATTTATCTTTTTCAGCCATATATACACGAGGTCCCATCATAAATACACAAAATTCAACTGAACTCCCACTGCTCAAAGAAAAAGCTGAATTCTCTCGTCTGGTTGGTAAGGAAAAGTCACCATGCAAAATGATTTGGGGTAACCAGATTTCAATGAAAACGATATGCTTTAATAATTGATATTACATTGTAAAAAAAATGGTCGGAATTGATCTAGGAGTTCCATTGCACTGCACCAGCTCTGAACTAGTATTAAGAGTCAACTATGATGTCAACGACAGATCTCATTGCACGACCGAGTCAACACGAAAGCCATTTGAGCTTTAATTTCATACAGCATAAATCACAAATGCGTACTACTAGACCAAGTAAATGTAATCCAACACTAGTTTTGATTGCGTTGTTAAAAAAACTAAAAAATACATGCAATAGACCTCCGCTTTTAAACCGTACTGTACGCCGAGCAACACGCTTAGCCCGCGCTAGCTCGCTGCTCGCCATGCATGTTCGCCGCCGCGGTAACCACGACGAAGCGACGACCTCGTCGAGGTCTCCTCGCTCGGCGTCTTCTACCTTACGCGGTAGTCGTTTATCATCAGAAAATCCGATTCTGAAAAACTGGTATACCATATATATTAGTAGCGTATACAGTCTGCGCATCACGAACCACCACCAACCGAACGCCGGCCGGCCAGCGCCCAAATACAGCAAAAGCTAGCATGGACTTGCCGTTCTTCGTCGCCTTCTCCGGCATCATCCTGGTGGGCCGGTACCCTTCGCGCTCCCCGTGAACGTGCGCGCCGTCCTCCTCGCGGGCAACGACGACGTGACGCCGGCAACCCGCGCCGCGAAGTGCGCTGTCTCTGTGGCCTTCGCCGGCCTCGTGCTGCTGGTATCCAGCGTGCAGCAGTGCTCCGCCGGCGGCCAGCAGGGCCCGGCGGAAGTGGCGATGGAGGGGAGGGCGCTGTGGTTCAACTCGGCCGCGCTGTTCCTCGGCATGGTCCTCGGCGGCGGGGCCGTGGCGCTGCACCCGCACGCACGGCGGCGGCGGCCGGTCGTCGATGTGGCCGTCGAACATCTGACCTGGTTCACGGAGACCGTCGCGATCACCGCGTTCGCGCATAACGTTTGCATCTTCTTCAAGGTTGTCGAGATGATGCAGAAGTGAGACGCCATGCAAGGACTGAAGCGCGCGCGTGCGCCGTGCAGCGGGCACTATAGTTTCGGACATGCAGCCGTGCCCGAGAAATGCAGTTGACTAGCTAGCTAGGTTGATTACTAGGTTATACATACGTTTTCACAAATTAAGTTGCATGATTTGCCGCAGCTCAGAGTTTCAGTTGATTCTTTTCATCCCTTTGTGTCTGTAATATTGTACAGAATTTTGATTAAATAAACATTGTACAGAATTTATTATTTATAATCGCCAATTGCTACTTCTGTTTCTGTCATCTATCCCAGAATTTATTTTACTACTCCTAGTTTTCGGTGGCTCAATAGTTGTCCATGGAACATGGATTGGATGAATTTAAAACGTTGTTCCAGGCTTCCCAACGCCCAGTGAGCAGCAATGCTTCTGTCTCTGAATAAATAGATTTGTACCTCAAAAATGTGTCTATAAATAAATCAATTTCTAAAGGTTGAATGACCCACTATCATATTTATTTTTCTCGGAGTCTCCTCATTTACTACACCCCTCCTATCTCTCAATCCAATATTGAGTTTCTGTAGTTGAATGTGTGTAGTAAGTGCTATAATTAGTGTGCTAGTGAAACAACCACCGATCATTGTGCAACTACTTAGCTGATAAAGGGTAGTATGATCTTTTCTCTATCATACTAATCTTTCCTAAACTTGTTAAGAATCTATTTATTCGGGGACCGAGGAATTATTAGATTGATGTTTGGGCTGTTGTGTTTTTACAAATAAATACTCTTTTACAATCCTTGCACCAGGCTTGGCTTGTTATTTTCTTTGTTTTTTATTTCTCACGCGCCATGCAACCAATGCTCACAGTGCGGCACAACCAAGCAATGCCTATTTCTCTGAGATTATTGGTCCTACTTTTATTTTGGCCATCACTTCGCATCGTGGAAGGCCTAAAGGAACCCAAACTCATGTTCTCTAGTGTGTGTTTTTTTGTACAAACGAAGTTTTTTTTAGTTAAAATTTGGAGATATATGGTACAAAAACCTTTGAACGGTACTTCTGACCTTTGCCAACAAAAGACATACAGACCTGATTACAATTCAAAACACAACCATTTTATTCTAGTGAACCCCTTTAATTTGCCCATCTCCCATCCAAGTTTTTGTCCTATATGCACTCTTACAGTATAAATAAGCAATGAAACTCGGAATCAGGGACGAATTTAGCCATTGTTGGGGGGGGGCTCAAGCCCCCTACCACCGCCGATCCTATATAGCCCCCTAGAGCCTTTCTAAGAATTTTTACCATGGCTAATTTGAGGAGGAGAGGTTGAAGATGACTTCATCCACTCCCAAACTTTCACTACTCAGAATGTTTGTGAAAAAGAAACAAACTAAACTGATGGTCAAAATTCACTACTACAGAAACGATTTGTGGCAACGCCTCTTGTCGGTGCAGAAAGTGACCAACACGTAAATATTTGTAGTTTTACCGTATGTTGTGATCGCATGTGGCCTAGCACTCAATGACATACGGTTTATACTGGTTCAGGCAACGTGCCCTACGTCCAGTTTGAGTCGGTCGGTGACTTTATTCCTGAGACCAGGTGCTCGAAGTTTGCTGCGGGGTTACAAACGAGAGGGAGTAACATGGGGGTGCAAGAGGTCCGGTCAGACTCTGGGCCGAAGGGTCGAGAGAGACGGGAGCTCCTACGTGCGCTAAGTATTTGAGCGTGTGCTCTGTTGGAATCGTTCGAATCGTAGGTTGTTCAAGTCGTTCGTGAATTGACCTGAACTGATCCGTCGAATCCCCTCATTGGGAGAGAGCGTATCCCCTTTTATAGATGAAGGGGACAGCCTTACAAGTGAGAGAGGGAGAGTGTACGTATGCTACTAAGTCTTGTTGCCCACGCCGTTGGGTACAAGATGATTGTAGGCACCCACAACATTGTTTTATGTCAGACGCATGTGGGAGGTTTCTACCACGTTCACCATGTATGGCAAATGACGGCGCCCACAACACTGTTGATGCCCAGAGGCATGTGGGGGGTTTTACCGTGTTTGCCTGGTATGGGAGTTGAGGGTGCCCATAACACTGTAGGGTAAACGTCGGCGTCCTAAATACTGCTTGGGTTTTGGACATGCCTAGAAGGTGGCAGGGCACCCTTCTGACATGCCCTGTCGGTACTGTCCTACAGGAGTACAGGGTACTGTCCTTGGTATTGCGGTTGACTTGAGCATCCTGCCTTACTTGCTCTGCCCGTTTTCTGGGTCCTCACCGAGCGGGCGTCCCCGATCGGTTGGTCCCAGTCGGCTCCGACTGCACCAGTCGGAGAAGAGCTGCAAGTAGAGGTTTGGTGCATCCCCGATTGGAGACGTGGGTCGGAGTCGGAAGCGGCGTTGGCCAGGCCTTCTGGTCAGAGAGGCGGGCCAAAGTTGAAAGCGAGCGTCGTCCTTTCCTTGGCCTGGCCTCCCGGTCAGAGAGGCCGGCCGGAGTCGAAAGCGAGCGCCGTTCCTTCTTGGCCAGGCCTTCCGGTCGGAGAGGCGGGCCAGAGTCGGAAGCGAGCGTTGTCCTTTCCTTGGCCAGCCTTTCGATCGGAGAGGCGGGCTAGAGTCAGAAGCGAGCGCCGTTTCTTCTTGGCCAGGCCTTCCAGTCGGAGATTTGGATCGCCCTTCTGGCCTGTCGTTAGGTTTTTGGGCTGGCCCAGGAGTTGCGCGTCGTTCGCAACATTGTCTGCTGGGCTCAGCTTTTGCTGGGAAGCAGGTCTATGAGGGACCTCGGGTTTATGAACCTGACAGGAGCCCCCAGGCCCCTGGGCGATTCGGGTAGAATCGTCTGGGGGGGGTTCTTGGTTTTGACGGTAGGTGCGCGTGAGCACACCCACGGGTGTAGCCCCCGGGTGATTTGGGTAGAATCATCTCGGGGGTTTTCGTGTTGCCAGCGGAGGAATTTTTTCGTTTTGACAGCTGGTGCGCGCGAGCGCACCCGCGGTGTAGCCCCTGAGCCCCCTGGCGATTCTGGCATAATCGCCTAGGGGGTTTTGTCAGCGGGCGTGTTTGTGTGCGCCTTGGTGGGCGTAGCCTCCTCTTTTCAGTTTCTGACCCATCATTTCCAGGAGTGCGGTCCTAGGTTTTTGGTCGTGGCCGAGGGACTGGGCGAGACAGAGCCGTCAACCAGGGGGTCGGGCGCGTGGAGGGTTCGGGAGAGTCAGAGTCGTGGATCTAGGGAACGGGTGAGTCAGAGTTGCCAAACAAGGCATCGGGTGCGCCAGGGGATCAGACGAGACGGAGTCACGTATCTAGGGTTCGGGCGCAGCCGAGGGATCGGGCGAATCGGAGTCATGGATCCAGGCGTCGGACGCGCTGTGGGATCGGGCGAGTCAGAGTCATGGATCTAGGCATTGGGAGCGCAGAGGGATCAGGCGAGTCAGAGTCGCGGATCCAGGCATTGGACACGCCGAGGGATCAGGCGAGTAGGAGTCGCGGATCCAGGCATTAGGCGCGCCGAGGAATCTTGGTGAGTCGGAGTCATGGATCCAGGCGTCGAGCGCACCGAGGGATCGGGCAAGTTAGAGTCACGGATCCAGGCGATGGACGCGTTGAGGGATCGGGCGAGTCGGAGTCACGGATCCAGGCGTCGGGCGCGCTGAGGGATCGGGTGAGTCGGAGTCACGGATCTAGGCGTTGGGCGCGCCGAGGGATCAGGCGACTCGAAGTCATGGATCTAGGCATCGGACGCGCCGAGGGATCGAGCGTGTCGGAGTCGCAGATGTCGGTCACTGGGCGTAGCTGAGGTCGTGCCGAGGTGTTGGGCATCCCGAGCTCCTGAACCTCGTTGGGCTCGGTAGGGGTCGGTTGAGTTTCGTGCGTTACCCTGTCCACGGTTTCCACAACCGGAGGGGTCGAGCTAACGTCGCTTACCTCGATGGCTCGAGTGACGCGCTCGGTGAGCTCGCTAACGGGTACGTTCGAGTGGAATCTGGGTCCGTCGTTCGTGATGGGGTCGGCATAGCCCTCATGTGGCATTCCACTGCTCCTTAACCCACGTCCCGACAGATACCCGGGTCGTTCTAGAGACCGACCCAGGTGGCCCGCTGGCCTCCCCTCGATGGAGATTCTGTGGGCATGGCTCGAGGTTAGGATCAGACAAGAAGGTTGACATGACCTTGTCTGCTTAGAAGCAGACTGGGCGAGGGCCGCTGGGGCTCATTTGTGTTTTCTCCCTAGCTCTGTTTGATGCGAGGTGGCCTCGAGCCCTTCGTAGGACGGCCTTCGAACCCTAGTCGGTCGTTGCTCATGTTGAATGAGGCAACTGCTGCTTCATGATGCAACACGAAGCGTTGTGATGTATCAATTGCATATGCGATGCTTCGAATGTATGGGATGAATCAATGACTGTATGAATGAATGTGTGAATGCATGTATGCGAATGGATGAATGAATGATCATGCATTAGAAGAAATAAAGTAAGAGGGATCGGTAGAGTTACCTTGTTGACCTAAGTGATAGGTTTGAGGAGTTATATCGGACATGTCCGAATGGGATCTAAGCTCGTCGTTCATGACAGAGTCAGCGTGGCCCGCATGGGGCATTCCTCTGCTCCTTACCTGTCTCTCGGCGTTCGCCTGAGCTGTCCGATCGATTCAGGAAGCCCATTAGTCTCTCCTGGGGTGGAGATCCCGTTGTTGGGCCCTTCCAAGTCTTGCCTGGGAAAGCGGAGGGCCGCCTACGTGTAGTTGCGCCTTGTTTCCCACGCCTAGCGTGCAGTAGTGGTGGGCCATACCCAGGCCATGTCCTGTCAAACCAGGTGTCGTCTTGTCGGGCAAGGTGCGTCCCATCGGTCAGGGCGCGTCCCGTCGTATCCCATCCGTATTGAATGGGGGAAGGGAGAGGGCTTTCATCCCGTTCCTTCGCCTATTCCCCAACTGCCGCCTCTCCTTCTTCCTTCTTGCCAAGAGCGTTCGTGTGCCGTGGTGATTCCTAGGAGAAGAAGGGTAGAGTGGGGGAGAGGAGGAACTCA